TGCCAAGGCACACATAGTGGTTTTCAGCTTTCCAGGGGCAAGGGGGGCTGGTGTTGCATCTTGGCCAATCTCTTCTGGAGCATGCGCGAAAGCACAATAAAGACCTGTTCAAGATCTCCAAATCTTTTCTGGTGCCACATCTGTTATCCTGCCATTAACGTACTTTTCTATTCTTTTCATCTCTCTCCCTCTCTCTCTCTCTGTCTGATCGTCTGTCTTTCTTTCTTTTATACTTGTTATTTATTTAATAATATTTGCCCTTTGTTCCTAATAGCTTCTTGCTCCTAGTAGCTTCTTTTCATCTCTCTCTCTCTCTCTCGGTATGTGGCCCTCAACCCTGGCCACCTGGCCTTTGTGGCAGGTTCCAGCGAGGAAAAACTTGCACATCCTTGGAGAAGGGAATGGGAGACCGAACTGACTGGCATTTTTCACACAAGAAGCAATCAACAAGTACACGAGATCGAACCGACTTACATTTCCAAGTCACGAGATCTTCTTCAGAACCTTTGGCCCGGCACTTTTGGCGGGAACCGCAGGTGCTCCCCCCAGCGCTGGTAAAGCACCACTGCTGGGCGAAGCTCCAGCAACTCCTACCGGGAAGCGTTCCTTGTTTTTGCAAAATGATTTCATCTGCTCATGCTGTTGTTATTGGCAGTTTGGGCCTTGTGCACCCACTGAAAAAATCGCACGAGGTACCGTGAAGGAACGTTTGACCTTCAAGCCTTTCATCTGCAAACACCTGCCAGCTCCTGGCAAACCAGCTAGGGCTGCATCCACCCCTGGCAGCGCAGCCGTCAGACCCGCTAGGCCAGTGGCTGGTAGCCCTGCAGCTCCAGCGATCCCGGGCATCGTCGGCATTGGGAAACCTGGCACTCCAAGCCCAGGAAGGGCTGCTAGCTGTTGGAGCTGCATCTGCTGCATGGCAGCCGCTTGCATCAAAAGGTCCATAGACGTCATCCTGGCAACGAACTCACCTTCATTAGTGTGGAAGTGCAGCACGGTGGTTGAAGCATGCTTGACCTGTCATGTGCCACCAAGATGCTGAAGCAAAAGCGCCGCCAGAAATGGCGACCGAAGGTGGACCAATACATGTGGTCTTGAGCCACGTCTCACAAGGTATGCTTTACACTTTGCCGAGCTGGTGTGTCTGGAGTCCTGTTCCAGTGACATGTCAGCGCTGCTCAAGCTAGCATAAACCAGCGACAGGCAATAAACGAACACCAAGACATGAACAAATATGGCTCTGAAGTCTAGGGAACTGAGGGGCATGCAGTCTGGCTGCAAGCACTCAGAAGTTCTCCTGGAGCTGGTACCTACAGTATGAGGGTAGAGAGAACGAAAAGTGCCAAGAAAGACTGATACTCTTCAAGCTCTCAACAGTCTTAAACCAACACGGAGTCTGAGGTGTTTCCGTTGCCCAATCAGCAAACTGCTTTACAAGCCTCACCTTTGGTGAGCCTTTCGATTGAAGGCGAACCCACTAAGCGAGCTAGGCCAAGCAAAATCACTCAACTGTCCTCCTTAGGAGGGCAAACAGGAAAAGATCCCTCGTCCTTCGATTTGGATGTGCCCCTCCCTATAGCCTAAAGCCCTAAACGAATCTAAGCGATTAAATCTGCAGCATGCAGGCGAATTGCCAAGCCATCTCACAACCAAACTCTGCTGTCTTCGAGGTTGGCCTGTGACAAACATCTGGGTTCAGTTGGAGATGAAAAATGCACTCTCCCGTAGCTCAACCGAAGCAATTCCTTTTTCCCGCTCAGATCTCATCTTCACATCTCGCATCCAATGGGAGGCTACGTCACCTGCAAAAGAACAACTCCATGAGAGTGAAGAGGTAAAGCACGACTGCAGTGCACCTCTGACCTCTTGATGGCTTCATCGACTCAGCCAGCTTGTGGTCATCCTTTCAGGGAAGAAACGCTCTCCCTGCACAGCGCAGCGCACAACCCATTTTCTGAGACGTACTTCAATTTAAATGTCTTTGTTCCAACATATGTTGTATCGAACGCACTTTTTCTCTAATCCATGCATCCTTGCACTTTGAGATTTTGCATTGTTTGGCTTTTGGTCGTTGGTTGTGATGACTTTTGCTGGCTGTGAGGATAAAGACTCGTCGCTGCTCCTTCGAAACCTTGGACATGCAGATCTCGGTCCCAAACGATGCATTGATCGAGCTGTGCACCTGTTCAATGTCACCATCCCCTCCAAAAAACCGTGCCTTATCGTGCCTTCATAGCGGGCCCCGCCACAATTTCTCGAGAGATCAAACCGACTTGGACAAACTTGGAACTCTTCGATGCTTCATGGTTTCAATCAACGCCGGCAAACCCTGAAAATTGAAGAAGTATCTTGGGCTGACCTACTTACGTCATGCTCTTTGGCTTTCATGTGGCACTGTGCCCCCAGTATTCCGAACGCAAAAAAAAAATACACACTCGGTGCGCTGCCACGATGGTCAAACAAAACTCTGGTCAATTTGGCTGCCTCACCCTCAGGCATCAAATCTTCTCGTATGCCGCAGCCTTGGGACAGCAAAAATCTTGCAACTGTCACCAAACCTTTTAAACATTTTGCGCTTGGAATAGGTGTTTGTATTCGGGCAGCGCTTGCAACACCGCTTTTGTTCTCCGAAAATTTACGTGGACGGACCACGGCAGCACCAACTAGGTGATAACTTTGAGAAAGCACAAGTTGGGCGCCGGCTAAATCTCAGTTGAATGGTGGTGCCTGTTGGAAAACAATTTGTGCACCATTGCCGAAAGTTCAATTTGCATCTGTTCTTGCGACTTGGCCACATCCACCAGCTGAGTCCTCACCTTGTTCACCTGGTGCTTCAATGCGCAAACATCTACGGACTTAGCAGATCCGCGGTTTCGAATGCAGCTATCGACAAATTCATCCACACCAATAAAGTGATCCCCATCTGAGTCTAATATTTGGAACAGTGTCCAGGCATCTTCGGCACCGAGTTCCAAAGCTTCAAACACAGCTCGCAAAGATTCTTGTTCGAACCTTGCTTCGAACTCCAACAATGTGATCCTGCCAGTGCCGTCGTCGTCCACTTGCTTGAACAACTCCAGCAGCTTCTTCTTGATGGATTCTCTTTCATGAAGCAGCGCTTGCACCATGAGGTCTTGATCTTTTTCGGCGCCACTTATTGCGCTGTGACAGAACACCCCAGTCATGACCTCTTTGCGTGTGTGTTGTATGCAAAATAGATCAACATAGTGCAATTGCTTTAAGATCTTACCTTGTAAACAATGCGGCGCCCCGGTATAGACTTCGGAGCAGATCGGAACAAGTTCCGGAGCAGGTTCCGGAGCAAGGTTCCAGACAAAGGGCTTGGAGGAAGGTTCTGGAGAAAGGCTTGGGGAGGGGCGAGACGACCAAATGACCAGTGCGGTGATGTTGGTTGGTTTCCTGGAAGTCTTTGGAGTGGAGCCCGCCGTGAAAAGGTAGGCTATGCATCAGCATGAGGCTTGATGGTTTGTGACATGTTCTTTAAGAACATGCAACATGCTTCTAGCTGTTGGATAGTCCCGAGTACTTATTAAAAAACGGACCCCTATTAGAAAACAGTCATGTCGGAAACCCTCAAATACGGTTTATATTTGTTTTTAAATTGCCGCCCTTTCAAGCCGCCACTAAACTACCAACATTGCCGATTTTGGTGGAGTTCTTTTGAGCATTAGGTTCCAAAAAACAGCCTCTTGACCTAGTAGTAGCAGCAGCGGCGGTAGTAGTAGTAGTAGTAGCAGGAGGTAGTAGTAGTAGTAGTGGTAGTAGTAGCAGTAGTAGTAGTTAGTAGTAGTAGTTAGTAGTAGTTAGTAGTAGTAGTAGTAGTAGTAGTAGTCGTAGTAGTTAGTAGTAGT